ATTACAACTCAGCTAATAAGCGTGTATAATGTACGATGGCAAGAGCTCGGCAGGAGTGAACTGTGCTGCATTCCTACCCCCTAGCTGTAGTATGGTTAGGGCGTTCGATTCCAGAAGTTTTTTTACTTGTTTATGAAAAGTTATAACGGAGAGAAAAAAACTGGTAACTTATTACGGTGGCAATGAAAGTATCTCAACGACACCCGGCTTGAGGATCAGAGTTACATACACCTTCCTGGTCTATACCACCACCATTTATGGCGCGGTCCTGAGCGCAGCCAAACGTTCTTTGACGAGGGTTATGGGCGAGGGTTAAGTTCAATTCCGTCCGCTGTTGAAACGCTTCCTTCTCTCCTTTCCCGGACATCTCTGATCATTATGCTGCCTGCCGCCACGGCTGTCGCCATGAAGCTCACATGCATTCACATGCGTAGTTGTTCGCATGGCTTTGATGTCGTTCTCTCTTAACAAGTCATCTTTCATGCAAGGCCTGGAATTTTATTATGACCAGCAGCAAAAACAATCCTCCAATTAGTATGTCATAGTCCCAAATCTCGTGACGTCCACCATGTCGGCACCTTTCCGCGGGCGGACTTTATCCCTGCCGTCTGTGAGCGGAGTTAGAACACTGGCGCAGCACGCGTCTGAATCCAGAGCCGCACCACCGCAGGCGCACTGTTCAGCAGTCCTGCCAGCAGGGTCAAGGGTTCGGCGGGTGTCGGGCCGCGTGCAAGCAGGGCGGACCGTTAGCCGTGCATGAGAGGTGCTGCCACCTGTCGAGCTGCCTGCCCACTTCGAGACTTCATCCTCAGACCACGTCAAACACTCGAGCAAGTGCTCCCGTGTACGTGCGTCGTGCACGTGTCCGTTGGCATGGCACGACGTATGTACCATGTCATCGGACACGTGTCGCATGACACACACGTTGTACCATATCATGTATGTATACATGTCCGGTGTCCGTTGTATACACATATTTCGTACGGCTGTTGCAGTCTTTTCAACAAGTGTAATCAGTTAGTTAATCGTTGATAAATGGCAAGAAATCACAGCGCTGAACCGGGGACGTCAATTTTTTCAGATGATTGGGAGAGCCGAGCGGACGCCCCCCGCCCCCTCTCTCCCAAGGACTTAGTCCCGTTTATTTGGACGAAAGGCAAGTTATGTTTTAAATAAATATATCATAAGGATTAGCATTTCTTTTAAACAGCACTAGTGATCATACAGGAGCGGATCTAGAGGGGAGCACTAGGGGCACGTTTCCTCTCTGATCAAAAACTAAAGGCGCCCCTCTGGAAGCCGCCCTAGCGCGCCGAATACACTCTACTACTAGCGACCATACCGTCATAGAAACGTGCGGGTAGGAGGGGGACGGGGACAGGGGTTAGTTATGAAGGGCGTGTCATTCCCGTAATTCGGAGCTCTTCAGTTTAACCTCTCAAACCTGTGCGTGTCTCATGACCCTAGATGTATAAAGTTTACTGCATCGTTTCTCCAGGCAGCATGCACGATTTTTTATATGGAGATGAGAGCAAACCCAATTTGAGGAGGGATGCGAGAGGAGGGATGTTCTTGTGATGGTAGGTGCACTTCCATACAAGACAAGCAGCCGGGTTTTGCGTCTATAAGGCGGCAAACATCCGGCTGCATGAACGGATCCAGTTGTGGGGGTTTGGGTGCCGAGCCATTCGGCTACATGACATAGTCTACTCATATTCTTTTCCGTCCTTAAATTATATGGCGCGCACCCCGTGTAAAACAGTGCTACCCTTTACTCAAGTTAGGATTTTTGCACGGCTCACGAACGGCGCGCAAAAGTTTTGGTCTTAACTTGGCACAGTACAACATTTTTCATTTCAACCCTGCCATAGCATCAACAGTTGTAATCAATAGTACAACCATGATCAATAATACTCAACAATGCTCAACTACACTCAGAAGCTTATCATGAAAAGTTTGCGTTTAATAGATGTCTGTCTGCTGCATGACCATTTGCAGTTGACGCGCCTTAAAACACCAAATCAATGCTTGTATGGGACTGAAGCGAAAGCAAACTGTTTGAATTAGATACGTAAACGTATGCTGTAAAACAGCAGTGAGGATGAGCTTGTAGCTGTGGTGTATAATGTTTTAAAGACCTAATCCGAACCTTTTGAGTAGATGGATTTCTGGGGTCAGATCTCGCGCTAACCAGTGCTTTTGTGAGCCTTGACCCCTACCATAAGATCGCTCAATTCCATGTCAAAGACAGAATTTGGTGGCGAAAGATCAAGGTGCCGCAATGCTTTGCACGGTCTGCCCTGTTGTATGACGTCATCTGAACTTTATCGCGGCCGCTGCCACCTGCCGCAGGCTATCCTTGTCAAGAGAAAATGGCGAGTACCCAAAGCGACTCGCGCTTACTCAGCCACTGGTGGATGAGTCGAAATGCAGGCGTTCTGACCTACTGAGCCATCGGGACGAAAAAGATGTGTTATTAAAAGTGTTGGTGAATGTTAAATGTTATAAAATATGTTATAAAATGGGAAAACGCATGCGTTATTAATTGGAACACTATATGCATGTTTATTATTAAAGGGAGTGTTCTATACTTATAGGGTTTTTTAACTGGAATAGCCATCTTGAAGACCTTTCGGTGTAAATCACAACCCAGCCTTCTTTAGACATAAAACTCTCAGAATCTAACCTACGCGCTCGCGAAAATTGGTATATAATTTCGGGGAGAGTGCTTCGATGTCACCTTGGTATTCATGGCATCATGAAAACATCATTCAAATGCTGCCGTTTCGCAAGCCATGCTGCGATCAAGGCCGAGAGAATTATGATGGTCGAATCGCTTACATGTGGCGCTCATGAGCACGATTCCTAGATATAACGGCCGTCTATCAATCAATGTTGTGCAAGGCACAATGACATAATTAAATGACGACATATCAAGAAGCACATTTACTAAACAGGAAGTTGTGTTGTTTAGAGCAGTCTCTTCTACTTAAAAGCTTACCAATAGTTATCAGTAAAGTTCTTTAATTATATCTGATGTCATGCCTCTATGTCAAGTGTTAAACATTCCCTTTAAGCTGTTGGCGCTCCCTCAGGTGCGCGTCAATTTTCATTCACGTGACATGTTTACTTTAATGTAAACCACTTTGATTTGATGAGGGGTAGTTCTTCATCAGCATGGCAATGTGATCAAGGGCCATACTACAAAATCAGTTTGACTTAATGCCTTAGATTGTGTACTATTTAATGGTATCATTATCTGCAGGACACGATGAAGCACTTCGTCATTGCAGTCGCGGCTAAACAACGTGGCTAAAGCAAAATCAAAATACATTGGCTACAGGATTCCAAATGATTGATGCCTCATTGACGGCGTATCGGACCACTCACTGTCTGAAGGCTATACGGTGACCTTCAGAGATTATGGTACAAAAGGTCATATACTTGGCGCTATGAAAAGCACGTGTCAGTTTTAATATTTAGATTCAGTGTATTATGGACGGAATAATGCATACAGCCTTCCAGTCCAGGCCTCTTGATGGCCTGGATGTTAAACGGGAACCTTTAAAGGTAAGGTCACCAAATGTGCGTATATCGTACATCATGGTGAACCCATATCCTCTGTCAGATTTGGATCAGAAGGATTTCCGAGGGAGTAATCCATGACCGTGTTTGCGGCCTCTGATCGCCTGGGGGCCATTTGGTAGCCTTCAGAGGTCAGGCCGTTTAAAGTGCATATACCTGACGACATGATGCACACGTGACTATCTTCGTATTTGGATTCAATGCATTAATGTTAGAGTTATGCCTGGAAACGTTTTTGGCGCATACAAACAAGAATCCGAGTGTAAATACGTTGCTAAAATTTGTGAAACTAGCCCTAGTTTGAAGACATTAGTCATATAGTCTGTCTGAAGACAGACAGACCTGAGTTATGCCTGGTAACGTTTTTGGCGCATACAAGCAAGAATCCGAGTGTAAATACGTTGCTAAAATTTGTGAAATTGGCCCTAGTTTGAAGACATTGATACAAATGTTCCGAAAAACTGTACGAGGACCGGTGATTATTCCTGCAGTTTCTGTGCAGAACTTCAGTGGTATTGAGTAGAATATTAAAGGGGGTGTTTCCACATTTGTATCTGGCTTTTTAACTATAATAACCATATTAAAGACCTTTTGACGGAGCTCATGGCTGTGTCCTTTTTAAGATGTAGAACCCTCTAGTTCCTGAGCTTAAATGCCGCAAAAATGGCGTGCATGGAATGGAATGCATGGCGTCATCATAACGTCATTTCAATCCTGCCATCTCAATGTCCATGCGCCGATTAAGGCCAAGGAGGATATAATTGTCGAGGCATCATATCTGCCGTTCGTGAGCACAATCTTCAGACATAAGGGCCCTCAGTCAGTTTTTAACCACTGTTGTGCAAGATACGATGAAGCAATTAAGCAATGACGTATTGAGGAGCATATTTAATAAATAGAGGAACTGTGTTGTCTACAGCAGTTTTTTCCATTTAAAAGTATACCAAGTATACCAATAAGCGAACTTGTTTCATCCTGTTTCATACTTGATTCAATATCTTCAAATATGAAACGTTCTCATTAAAGTAAACCACAGGTGCAGTGACGTCTCAGAAAGTGTATGGATGGAGGAGAGGGGTCGATGATAATTTCAAAGGCAGTTCTTACCATGCATCACATAGGGTTAATGTTACACATTTCCAAGAAGTGGGAGGGTCGCGACCACCTGCCCCCCCCCCCCCTTTTCCCACACCCACGAGTAGAACGATCTGGTCCGTTAGGCACGCTGCCGCACGCATCCAGCCCCACGCTCACCCCTACAACCACACGCCTCCCCCCCCTCCCCCTGCCCCCACACGCGGCTACCGGACGTATACCCGGTGCGGCGGCGCCGGGCGGTATCGACCGTTCGCTGCGCCGCCGTCGCCGGCCGCCATATGGAGCGGTCGGCGTCTGCTGCCGGCTGACTGCGCGGCGGCGGGCGGACATTGGCAACAGGTGACGGCCGGCCGGCCCAGCGACGCCACCGTCGCACCCATGACCTACCTGGTCGCCATGGCCGAGGCGTTGACCGACGAGCCCGACTACAACATCTTCGAGAACAAGACGGGCTTGGCTGAGGACCTAAAGTTCCTGGCCAGCATGCCCGAGCTGTGCGACGTCACGTTCCTGGTCGGCGACACACGCGAGCCCGTCTGCGCCGTGAAGGCTGTGCTCGCCTCCCGCAGCAGGTCAGGCGGCCCACGCCGCGCCGTTTGGGCTGCAGCGGCGCGTGAGGGGTGCGAGTGCATTACTTCGTGTGTGGAACGTTTAGCAGAGCTTGTGGGAGTCAATAAATATGGCATGTACTGTAGTGGTCTGCCTGAAAGTCGTGCTGCTAGTGTATGTGTGCCTGGTCAATTTTTACATATTTTTCAATGCATTTATTCCGAATAGTTTGCATGTGTGGATTTGGCTTCAGATTACCTGCTAGGCATGGCTTTTTGCGCGTACCGTGAACGCACCACCCAAGTCGTGCCGTCCAGTTCAACGGATAATTTTGCCTTCACGCTTTCGCCTGACAGGAATAAGGGGGGTTTACGTGCCGCAAAATGCTGCGACACGGTCGCTCCGGACCTGGGTTGACCCCATTAGCCAGCCGCCAGTTGACCTTTCCATTTCAGTCGGGCAAACAATGCGCCCGTTCTAGGACTCGTACCCAGTGTCGTTGGATTATGCATCCCGCATTTTTTCCTGGTCCACGTAGCCGACAGGAGGCCATGAGTGGCGCGAGGTTAGACCAGTAGGTAACTGACCCCTACCAAGGATCTGATCGTTAAGCTTGCTTTTACATGACCGTGATTTGGTCTCCCGAAAACCGATCATTTACAAACAAATGCCAACGACAATCACACAACATGGCAACAATATATTCCTTCCCTTCACGTAGGTAATTTGTCAGCTTGGGTTGAAAGGGATGCATCCCGCGACTTGGGGTGAAAGGGATGCATCCCGCGACTTGGGGTGAGAGGGATGCATCCCGCGACTTGTTAAGGTAGCGGCGAAACTTCATGTGATGTAAGCATGTGTGCACAAAATTCTTCACAATCGGAACGTGGAGACCAATGTCAAATTTTTGACGGAGCCGCGTCATTGAGGGAGGGGGGGGGGGGTGATGTGCGGTGAGCGATGCACATGCGCAATCAATATAAGTCGTGCCGGCGGTGATCAATTTCTTGTGCACAGGGTTTTCCACAAAATTTTCTACTCCACTTCTTCACCACAACGCAAGAAAGACCAGCCTCAAAAGGAGAACAAGCTGCGCCTGTTTCTGAAGCGCAGCAGCGAACCACTGCTCAACCTGCAAAACACAACTGAAAAGGTGACGTCACTACTTGGGAACAGTCAGCCAATCAGGGCTTTTGTCCGTGCCAAACGGCACATGACTGTCAAGCTCTGGCCACTCACAGTGGCAAAGTGGCCTTTGATTAATCGCTAAGGCTTATGTGTTTTCTTGCGCACTGACTGTCCAAACGGCTCTGACTTCCGCTGTCACTGTCTACTTTGTATACTTTGTGTATGACCATTGCATTTACGTCACCATTATTCTGTACGTGCAGGATGATGTTGATTTAACTGGAGGCCATTTTTAGTCTTTTCGCATTAAATGAAAGCTAGATGTTGCCCAGCATGGTAAAATAAAGCCGTCCCGGCCACAACGCACAAATACGCATAGAGCGCTTATTCCTTAAATGATAACTATGGTTAAAGATAAAAGGATAACAGCGTCCATCATAATCCAAGTTTTGCGTTCCGCTTCAATCTTATTTCCATATCTGAGCTCAGAGTAATGTGACTAAGATTAAATGAAGCCTCCATGCAACGGTATTTAGGCTAGATGGCATGGATGTACCGGAACGTTCCTTATTTTAGTTTCTCCGGAATAAACGGACAAGTCAAATTACAAAGACAGCCCATGAAGCCTGGCGCAGTTAATCCTCACATGAGGCCGGGAGCACAGAGGCTGACAAAGGCCCCTCTCCCCGAAATTACTTGATTTGGCCCACTTTATTCCGAGGGACATTTTCTTCTTTCTCTTCTTTTCATTCTCGCTTTCCTTTTCTGTAACTGTTTCTTGCCTTTACTTTATTTCCAACGTTATTTCGAGGGACTTTTTCTTCAATACTTCTCCTCCTGCTTCTTTCCCTGGTTTCTTTATCCAGTCATGGCGAGAACTGCGTCCATTGAAGGGGCCCATGAAATAAACACTAAGGAGGCTCCTTATCCTTCCCAGACAGGGGGGGGGGGGCATGGGAAGAATTTTAAGGGCCCATTACATTTCCCGATCAGGAAAAGATTCTGGTTCCTAACGACAGGGGTAGCGCCACCAGCGAGCCAAATGGATAGCTGCCCAGTGCTGTGTGCCAAAGGGGGTAAGCATACCGTTTTGCCCCCATTTAATTTCGGAAGGCTCCATTACGCCGACAGGAGGCACCAGGCCATTAAGACAAGACATTCCACCGAATTAAAAGTAAGACTATGAAGGCACTCAAAGGAGACATTGTCTTCTCCTTAGGAGTTCTTAAAATGTTTTCTTCTTAAATAAATAATTGGAAACAAAAATTGCTCGTGCCAGCGTTGCTCATCGGCTACCATTCTGGTGACGTGGGGGCTGGGTACCTCTGGCTCATCAGGCCGGCCGAAGCGGGGTGGAGGGCTCCCGTTCGTTACTACCCTTCCCCTTCCCCCGTCTGAGATTGTCATTTGTCACATACCCGTTCATTATCAGAGGGCCTCAACCAACGCAATCAGGGGCCGTTATTGTCTCAGGGGCCCCGATCGCTGAAAGGGGTCTTCTTATACTGATATTCCAGGCACCGGCCTTGTCCCTGCTCGGGAAATAGACAATCAGGCCGACACGGAGCCGACTGCTTGTTATTGGTGGCCTCTGGTCTAAGCAAGACCTCTCATTGCCCAGCGCTCCCGGTCGGCGCACAAGTCCCTCTGATTGACATTCAAGGACCCCGGCCCGCGTGTCAAACTTCCTGACCTTGGTCAGCCCTCAGTCTCCTCGGGTCCCCAGCCGGCCTCTTGGATCATCGGAGGCACACGTAACCCATGTGCCTCCTGCCTGCATCGATGCTTCAACCGCAACATATTTTGAATGCCAGAAATGTTAGTACTTGTGCACTTCGCCTTTTGCCGTAATATTGCAGATTAAAATGCTAGCATTGTGTCCCACATGTGGTAGCTAACTCTTATTTAGCCCGTGCTAAGACCAAAACTTGACAGAATGTGGCAACGCATGAGAAAACCCCTTGGTAATAAAGTCGAATTGGTGCGGTATGCTGCATATTTTACGCATAAAACTAAAACTAAGTTTTAGGCATGGTCAGTCCTTTTCATAAACGTGGGCCTCCCAAATACTCGTTTTCGGATTCGATGTGTAGCAAGTGGTGACATATTGTTGCGTTCCATCTATTCCCTCGTTTCTGTCATTTGTTTACTACAGCCGCAAGACTTTTACATGGCTGACCTTAGAATCTGCCGTGTGAGAGGCTAGCAGCACGCGGTCGTGATATCCCCATTATGACATCGTTTTCGTGCATAGCGTTCTGTCAAAGACAGGGGCAACGGAGGATTTATTGCGGTTTTTTGGGAATGTGATAGATTGTTTTAGGACACAAAAATGTTCTACTCGCTTTACAAAAAAAAATAGTTCTTCGGTCTAGATATTCTTGACACATTTGTTTCGAAATCTGGCCTCAGCATATTTCCACTTTTTGGTTTAGGTACGTTTTTACATTCAAAGAACACACTAGCCTTTGAACTGATATCAGGTTCATTTTGTCTTCGCATTGGCGCATGAATTTACATACACTTGCTCATTATTTTATCACTTATACCTCACCCTACGACGTTGTAGTTAGGCTTTGGCTCAGGGAAGGTAAACACGATCACATATTTAGGGGTCTATCCCACTGCCAACGTTTAAAAGTTATCTGGATCTCGAACGTGTATCTTCACAGCTATGCCCAAGAAAAATGCGACCGCTAAGACTTTTAGGACACCTCTCCGGCACGTTGTGCAATCGCGCTCAAATTTGTGGTAGCCAACGAGGCATCAATTACACAAGCATTAGATATTCGTATGGATATATTTTGTGCAGGCAGGGAAACTGATTTTCGTTCCTACCAGTCCCAACAAAAATCAGGAAAAAATCATATATGGATAAATAAACGTAGGTCACTATATTTCCAGCGCTTCAAAAAGCCAAGCATTACCAAGCAGGGTCCAAGACATTCCCAGAATCCAAGTGGGGAGGGGGGCGGTTGCCGTTCGCCTCGGCTACACAGCCGTTAACGGCGCGTGTGCCGGACACGCCAGATGAAACCGCCCGGCCGCCCGTCGGGTTGCCCTCAGCACGACAGGGAGCTCTGTTGTTAGACTGCGCCGCAATACTCAGCTGCACGGCGGATTGGGGGCTGGGCTGCCAGCGAAGCCTTGGCGCTCTGGCAGGGGCTGCTCGTCCCGGTCGAGAACGGCGGTCCGTTCCACAAGGCATAGCGACAAGCGAATGCAGCCAGCGTAGGCTTTACTTCGCTTCTGTGTCGTACGGACATACTCAAGATGGACGCTGCACTTTCTTGTTCGCTGCACTGAACTGCTCTTGGGATGTCAGTGCCCTTACGACAAGACAAGTATTTTCCAAAGTGTTGTGATGTAACACATTGGTGTTAAATCTTATCATCGGAAGCCTTATGACTGAACCTATATTTGGAGTTCACAGAAGTATATATGGTTGAACCCACATTCCTCATTCACCAGAAGTGCGACAAGATGCCATTAGGGGTAGTTGGAGCTTGCTGCCGGTCTCGTCGGTGTCAAGTCAGGCAGTTGCGCCGTGCTCTTCCGAAGTTCTGGTTAACTCCCGCTCCTGACAGGTTTGGGCCAGAGCGAGTGCAGGGGCGGATCCAGGGAGAGGGGGGGGGGCGCACACAAAACACATGTGGGCAATACTATGCTTCTTTCATCCTCCATGTTTTATATTAATTCCCACACTGAATTCATCCAAGTGCATCCTAGCTGTTTTCGCTGGCATATCAACCCGCTGGTTACATTCCACTGGCAGCTGTCAGTACATGCTGCGCAGCGATGTAATACAACCTTACAGTTATGAATTAGCGGCTTGGACCTACTGTAACCTGAGCTTCTAGTCTACCGGACCTACTGGACCTCTTGTAGTCTGAGCAATGAGCGATGCTGTTTCCAGTCGCAGAAGCAGTAAGGTTGGAGGGCCGGTTCAACGATCCCCCCTGCCAGAGTATATAAGTGCGGTATCATCAATTATAAAAATCACGTTCAAGGGCGTAGTTCCGCAAAATGAGTTCGGGGGGGGGGGCTGAGCAATGCAAAAATAACTCAACCTTCTCCCAAAATATGACGACCACTGGATCTCTCCGGATTAAGTCCACTTTCTTCTGAGAGTTGGGGGATGAAGCCCAAGCTAGGGGAGGGAATGGGGGAGGAGGGGAGTGAGGGAGGGAAGAGGGTAAAGCCCGTAAGTGACTAGGAAAGTACATCCGTGACCACACTCATGTAAGTGCGATAATTTCCGCTCGCTAAATGGTTCGGGCCATCTGCGATATCACAAGCGTTAGATTCTTACCGGTTCGCCGAAGGTACCGAATTATAATGTCTGTGTCCGTTGGGAGTCTTTGGTGATGGCAATCACATTCCAAATTGAATGGTACATCTTCACAGCAATGTCCTAAACAGGAGCCGAAAAACAAAGCAGACGTCGCGCCTCTGAAGCCTGACTGTTGCTTTCCTGGTTTGCCTGTTACGTTACATCACATGCAAACCCCGTTCACAAACAAACTTAGGCACTTATGATTTCAGTTCTTTGGGTTCAGGAAACAAAAGCACATGCAAAAGCACCGTTAGAAGGCATCTCTTACAGATTGAGCTCAGTCACAGCCGCCTGGCAGGTGGTCAGGAATCTCTGTCGGCTTTCTCGATGCATCCAAGTCTAGCCATCGGCAGGGGACACCTTCCCACGAACCGGCCTGGAATAGACCTCTTACTCTCACGCGTTCCTCACGTCTTCCCGCGGCTCACACGTCTTCGGTCTACCAACGCGTTATCTCATTTCTCCTAGTATCTCCTCCTCTCTCCTCTCGTGCCTCCTCCAATCTCCTCCAGTATTATTCCACCGCTCGTCGCCTCCCCACCCACCTCCCCCGTGTCCGCACACCTGCCCTACCAGGCTGCTGGTCGCTGGGCCATCCCCCCCCCCTCCCCCCGCCACGGACGCGCCGCGCCGACGCCGGCTCACGGGCCCGGCTGTTTCAGCGTCACGTGTACCACGGTCAGCAGCTCCCCACCATCCCCGAGGTAAATATGCACCGACCCTGCAGCCGACCCCTCTCACCACCACCACCTGCGACCGAAGTCACCCCACAACCGAGCTATGCATGGCCAGTTTTCCTGCCCGCAGTGACCCGGCACTAGAAGGACATGACCTCTTTTGGTCGCGGTTTTGGAACATTTCGAGCCGCGAAGCAACAATTTTGCACTGCACCTGCATCAGATTTTGAGTCGTGCTCGTAGGTATACCAGCACAAACGACGTTCTGTTCCTGACTGCCTGCATGCGTGACCTCGACACGGTTCTCAAGGTCAGTTGTGTTTCCTTCAGCATGCCGTTTCCTTGGTAAATATGCCGCGGATGGTTCTCGCCGCCGCCGCGCCTGACCGAAGTCGTTGTCGCCCGCTCACGTTCGCAGGCGGTGACCGGCCGCCACTACGGCGCCGGCAGTCCCGTCCGTGTATGATAACGAACCCACTGTTGGTATTAACCGTGGAAGGTGTGTCTACAGATCCACAGCACTCAGTTCTCACCGTCCTCAGTCTTCCAAGCTGCGACGACACTGCTATTACGTGACAGATGTTTCTCTTTCGGGTGTAAGTCTCTGATGTTCGCTCGCCGTCACCAGTGCTATTAACTGAATGCTCTGTGCATTGTGCTGTGAGCCAATGGGTTTGAGCTCCTGGCTTTTCGGCATCTTGAGTTCTTATGCTGAAGACAACAGACTTTCAATATGCCAGGAAGCTGGCAGGAGACACCGGTCAAACGAAGATGACAGGCCGTTGATCACTTCTGATGGTCGCAGGTGAACATTGCATAGTATTAAATAAAAATGGACACTCAAAAACCTACGGTATGCTAAAGACAGAGCAAACTGAAACATGTGGAAACTCTTAATCTTGAAATATGTGTAAACTCTTTATCTTGAAATACGTGTAAATATCGAATATGCCAGGAAGCCGGCAGGAGACAACGGTGAAATGAAAACATCAAGTAGACGATCACTGCTGATGGTCACAGGTGAACATTGCACAACACTAAGTAAAAAGAATGCTCAAAGACCAGTGTATTAAAGACAGCGTATTGAAACATAAATCAACCCTGCCAGTAGACTACCTACGCCTAGTTCAGTACCCCATCAACGAAGGATCTCAGAATGTGATGTCCAGTCTCAACAAGTGAAAACCTGAACAGCCGCATGGTGACTATTGGACCAATAAGTCACGACAGTAGACTTCTAAAATGTTGCTGAAGTGTTATGTATATAACAGAGCCTGTGATAAAGGTCGGCGCGACTTTGTTTACCTATCCTCAAACGTCAAGAGTACAGGTCTTTTTCTAAACTTCTGTTCTACTATAGCCAGTGTCTCAAAGCAAAACTACAACTTAAGTCATTTTAGATTGCGCCAATAACCAAGTGGCTTGCTCAGTGACTTTTTAATCAGCTGTCTTACTCAAGTTTCACTCACAACCCTTAAGCCAAGCTGCATATTGGCCCTGCTGCCTGAGCTGGGCGATTGGTTGTCGACCCCTGGCGGTGGGTGACGGGCGTCTGTGGGCCCGCAGCCGACCCAGAGCCAGCACCAGACCCTCATTATCGAGGAGTTCGAGCCGGACGTGTTCCGGCAGCTGATCGAGTACGTGCACACGGGCTGTGTCACGCTCCAGCCGCGAACACTGCTCGGTGAGTCGCCTCGTGACGGCGGCTGCGCCTCGGCCGCGTCACACACCGCGTCACGGCGGCTGCGTCTCGGCCGCGCCACACTCCGCGTCACGGCGGCTGCGTCTCGGCCGCGTCACACACCGCGTCACAGCGGCTGCGCCTCGGCCGCGTCACATACCACGTCACGTGGGCTGCACCTCGGCCGCGTCACACACCGCGTCACGGCGGCTGCGCCCCGGCCGCGTCACGCACCGCGTCACGGCGGCTGCGCCTCGGCCGCGTCACACTCCGTGTCGCGGCGGCTGCGCCTCGGCCGCGTCACACTCCGTTACGTGAGTTGCGCCCGCCGCGCTTAAAGGAGTGTTTCATATTTGAAGATATTGACGCGAGCATCAGATATGACAAAGCATGCTTATTTATGATATTGTCATGCTTTTAAAGGCAGTGTTTCACACTTATGCGAGGTTTTGAACTGAGATAGCCATCTCAAAGACCTTTCGGTGCTGTTCATAGTCATGCCCTCCTTAAGACCTAAGCCCCTCTAGAGTCTGAGCTATACGCCCGCGAAAATGGGGAGAGGTATATCGGGGAGAGTACCTAGATACCTGGCCGTATCGAGGACCACGGCCCAGAAAAATATTATTGTCACAGCGCTCATGTCCGCCGTTTATGAGCGCGATTTCCAGATATAACGGTGGCCAACTGGCTCTCGATCAATGTCGCGCAAGGTCTAAAGCATGACGCAATGAAGAGCATATCTACTAAACAGAGAATCGTGCCGTCTTTAGCGGTCTTTCTCACTTTAAACGTATACCAACAGTTGTGAGTGGCCTTGTTTCATCACATCTGATGCATGTTTCAATATCCTCAAATGTGAACCATTCCCTTTAAGTGAAAGAGACTGGTCTGGACGGCACAATTCTCTGTTTAATAAATTTGCTCCTCAAAACGTCATTGTTCGATCACATCACAGTACCTTGCACAGCATTGCTTCACAGTCAATTGACGGCCGTTATATTCAGAAATCGTGCTCACAAACGCCAGATATGAACGACTTCACACTTATATTTATATTGACCTTGATTGCCGCATGGCTAATGGAATGGCAGGATTTGAATGACGTCATGATGGTGTCATAAATGTCAAGGCGGCTTTGAAATAGTCTCCCCGAAATGTTCTCCACGTCTTCGCGGGCGTGTAGCTCAGAAACTGGAGGTGTTAAGGCCTTAATAAAGGCAGGACTGTGAACTGCGCCAAACAATCTACGAGATCGATTTTTCAGTTCAAAATCCCATGCAAATGCTGAACATTCCCCTTAAGACTACACCGACATGACCACACCGCCGCCCAGCCCGCGGAATCCGCTGGCGTCTGTCAGGAGAGCGAGGCGCCGTGTGTTCCTGTGACGCCAAATGACGGGCGCCAGCGACAGTCAGCGCCCGGTGGAGAGGACCTTGCTGCGCGCCGGTGACGTATGAACCCCGCTCACGCAGGTCTCATGAACGCCGCTGACTACTACGGACTAGACGAGCTGCGGCGGGCCTGCGCCGGCTTCGTCCAGTGCTGCATCAATGTCGACACCGTTTGCGCTCTGTTGGCTTCGGCAGAACGATACATACAGTACAAGTGCACCAAGTCTATGGTGCAGAAAGTGAGCGGTGGGAGGGGGGGGGGGGGGGGAGCGGGCGTGCTGGGAGAGTAGACCCACTGCAGTGCATCTGTTTAGCCCAAAGCGTCTGTGGATACGCTGGGAAACCGTCCACAGACGCCGGGCTAGTCTCCTGACCGCCATTGATGGAGCGTTTAAACAGTCTATGCAATGTAAAGCGTTGAGCTTAGTTCGTGCCAGAGCCAGAGCCTCTGAAATGGGAGCTTTCAAAGACATTTTTAATAGCACCTGCTGTGGTCGTCGCAAACCAGTCATAGCAAATTACCGCTTCGCACCGGGGCCCTCTGAGGCACCGTCTTCGGGCTGGGCTACAACGCCAACACGCGGGGTTAACGCATGCAGCAGAAGGCGTGCCAATATGCTCTTCCGCACCTTCAGTGTTCGCTGTTTTTAGGTACCTATATGTCGTATATACCGCACTACGTCACGTCTATACATTTATCGCACTATCTCATTTAGCGCCTGGCTGAGCGTGATACGTTTCAACACTATTTCAGGTTTTGGAGTTCGTTGATCTCCATGGTAACGAGGTGTTGAATCTGGGCTCGTTCACGCTGCTACCGCAGCATGTCGTGCGTCTCATACTGGCCAGGGAGCTCAAAGCCGACGAGGTTACCAAGTTCCAGGTGGGTCTTTGCCATATGTGCGTCTCACGCATTTTTCGTGGATGTAGTGAAGAATTTTTGAATTCCGTGAATCGGAATCGATTATCGAAAAGGCATGCACTCGGGGGGGGGGGGGGAAGGGGGAAGTAGGATCTTGCGGAGTCAGCCTGCGGATGTGATGCAGGCGAGCCGAACATAAAGCTCAGGCAGGGACGAAATGTTCTTCTTACCATTTTTGGGGGCATAGCCACGTTGTCTCCCCGCCCCCCCCCCCCCCCCCTCTTCCGCGCCACTCCTCGCACCTGTTAACCGGCACGCACGCACGTGTTGTGGGTTCTGGAGTCGCGCGTGGCTAACCACGCCGCCCTGTGTCCTGCAGGCGGCGCTGATGTGGTCAAAGAAGTACTGCGATAACTCGAGCCTGGACTTGCGCGAAGTTATCTCCACCTTCCTCGAGTTCATCCAGTTCCACAAGGTGCCGGCCACGATCCTGATGAAGGATATCCACCCGCTGGGCATCGTGCCGGACCACATCATCATGAACGCGCTGGCCTTCCAAGCCGACCCGAGCAGCGTGGAGCCGGCCAAGATGTCGCCGAAGCGAGTCAGCCGGCGGCGCGAGCTGTCCGTGCAGAGCTCGCTCGACCCGTACGGCAGCACCACCACCCTCTCCTCCAGCACGTCCAGCGACATCAACAGCGACCGCCATAGCTCGGACGGCAAGCACAGCTCCGAGGGCGGCTTCACCGGCTCGCCGCTAGGCCGGCCTACCTAGGGCAGGCTTCACTAGGGCGGGCCCACCTAAGGAAACGTGTTTGGGGCCGGCCCAACCGGGACGGGTTCAACTGGGACAAGTCCGCCTAGAGGGCGCACGCTTGAGGCGAGCGTACCTTGGGCGGGTGTACATGGGACAGACCCACACACCAGGGCAAGTTCACCTAGGACATGCCCACCTGGGGCCGGTTCACCTAGGGAGGCTGGCCTGGAGCCAGCTGGCTTGGGACAGGTCTACCACTGGCCGACTAGCGTGGGACAGGCCTGTCAACGGCCGGCATGCTTGCGGCGGTTTGCCCCGGGCAGTATCTAGCAGGTCGGGCACGACTCCAGGCCTGGCTCGTGTTGGGTCCACGTGCAGTTCTTGCCACACGCCCCTCAGCGGCGGACCGGTGTCTCCACAAGTGCATGATCCGTGCATGAGGGTGCGCCGTCAGGTCTGACACCGCTTGTCCGGCCTGGAAACTGGCCAACCTCGTCTCAGTTCGCCGTTCGTGGTCAGCTGTGACCTTCACGGGTAAGGTTGCCTTCACCCCGTCCGCCCGTTATGCATAGGCCGTGCCCGTACCCATCCGATACACAAGCTAAATCGGCTTCACCCACCCGTTATCCACCTGTTTACATTTTTTCTGCCCTGAATTCTAAAACACGTAAAATTTCGGGAAAGTTTGCAGCCAAACTTATTATTTTACATTGATATTTGCAACATCGGTGTGAATGAAGCTAATTATTGCTAAGATAATCGCAACTAGTAACTTTGTGTCGTCTGGGAAGTAAGAGATGCGTGGTTCGAATCCCCGCAGTAACCATCCTTCCTGCCGGGCTGAGGGCAGGCGACGCAATACAGCTTCAGCAGCCGGTGCGTCGTCAAGCCGCGCTGACAACGGTCGCATGGCGTGGGGTTTCTTGCAACATCTACCCGACAATGCGGATACATCCACCCAGTACCAGCGATTCTCCGCAAAGCTGTACCCATCTCAATCCGTTCCCCATTCCATATGGATCTCCATGGGCGTACCCGACCCTTGAAGTCCTCCAGCGGTCGGCGCCCGTGGCTACCGTCTGACGTCACGTGATGCCCCACCACTGCCCGGAGCGGAGGCCGGGCCGAAGTGCGCCGTCCTGTCCAGCGCCAGGGTCTTCTCTGCCATGTGGAGACGCGGTGAGATAACGAAACTCCCCGTGGACCTCGTTCAGACCACGGAGACGCGGTTGGCAAACGCTCCCTGTACGCGAGCACGTGATGCCCCCGGGGGACGGCCACCGCACAGCCGGTGAGGGGACGGCCACCGCACAGCCGGTGAGGGGACGGTCACCGCACAGCCGGTGAGGGGTCAAGGGCGTGCCATTATCGCAGCGCGGCCCCGTTGCCTCCCGTTCGCCCACTCCTGACCATCCCGGGCCTGACGCGCCCGCCGAATGCACACCAGCCCTAGCCAATCGTCGTTTCCGTTGCTTCACGGCGTGCCGGTTTGCTCTATATCGTGCCGTATGCCAATGAAACCATTCGGAGTATCTCACATCACGCGGACCCTCTCAGCGGCCGATCCCGAGTGTAGGTTTGGTGTCCGTCGCTGCAGATGTCGCGCCCCTTTCGCACGTACCGGGATCAAGTCAAGTAAGCCGATCTGTCGTCTGGATCTGTCATGACAGCGGAGAACGCCCGGCGGATGGGCACGCGCACACGTCCGCCGCGTACTGTCAAAGATGTCGCCACTGTCGCAATGTAATGGTGTCCGTCTTCGCCTGAATTGTACGTGCTTTGCTCGTGTGGAATGTGTGCGCGCGTGGGTGGCACCGGACATGGCGGAGCCGGGACCTTCGCGGCACTCTACCCCGGTGACGTCACAGGATACGAACTTGGGGGACATAGGAGGGGACGCACCCAAGAGGACGGGGTGGCGACTTCCCCGGTACTAGCCAGGCCGGCGCGGTCGGTGGGGAGGCGGGTGTGCGGGCTCATATTTTCATAACTGAATTGTAGCTGGTAGTCGTCGACGGTGTGTGTGGTCCCTGTGGCGGCCACCGTGGTGTTGCTGAATGGAATAATGTGATGTACCGATGTGATGTACCGTGTTTGTACCGTTCAGTACGGGGATGTCTAGCACAAGAAATAAACATCGATCCGTGTCGAGAACAGCCCGTGTGCAGCCCGCAGCCATGAAGCAACGCCGCGTGCTCGTGACGGACGCGAGCGTCAACACCATAAGCCAGGCAAGTATCTAACATGGCTTCGGGCCTCGCGCTGCTAGGCAATACTTGGTAACTGCTCGTACACATCGGAAACCACTTCGGAAACATGGAAACATAATAAAAACCAGGTAACTGCAATTTGCGCACTATCATTGGACCGAGGTAAACCCATAGCAGCATTGCTGCCCACTGACCACCTGCATTTATCCGATGCCGTTGTGTGTACCCGCGCACGCCTTACGTTCTCGCCGACATGTCCCACTAACACATACTATGGGCGCGGGCCTCGGGGCCGGCGGGTACCGGCACCGCCCCGTCAGCAGGCCGACCAGACCAAACATGCCCCATTAACACATACACTGGGCGCGGGCCTCGGTGTCGGCGCGTACCGGCGCGGCCCCGTCAGCGTGCCGACCAGACCAAACCTGAACACACCGGACCGGACCGGATCAGACCAGATCAGAGCGCAGCAGACCAGACTGGACCAAACCAGGTCGAACCAGACCAAAGCAGACTGGACTGGATACAACCGCATCAGACCCGGCCAGATCGGACCAGATTGGGCTGGAACAAACCAGATCAACAGCGGGCGCTCCGTTCCAGTAGCTTAAGTGGCTAGGGCGCCTGTCTTGAGGTTCATTCGTCCGTGGCGAGCAAGGCTCGAGGCACTTTAAACGCAGGCACTTTGCTCATGATTGGGATGACCTACGGCCGGTGGCAGTGGCCAGGCTTAAGGTCAGAAGACGTTCGAGGTTGGGGCTGGCCGTGCCGAGCATTACGGTACGTGAAACCTTCGCCACAAAATCTGTCATTGACTTGCAATTCCCCGATCAGGTGATGTCGGGGCTCACGCACCACGCACTGTTTGGTGTGTGTTCTGATCCCCAAAATAGATCCAATCAAAAAGTTCTGACTAAATTTTCAAAGAAAAAATACCCGGTTTGGACTGAGACTGGCAAATGAACCACGCCACACAGCACTGGCTCGCTCGCAGTGGTTGAACAGGACTGGACTGCGCTGGACCCGAGGAATCTGGCCCGGGCGTCAGAACGGCCTGGAGCTGAAGCTGCGCCGCCGACCGTCCACAGAGCCTCCAATCTCAGGCACGCGCTAGGATTGGCGATAACTCACGGTGATGATGTTCTGCAACCCGACGGACGGGAGGCAGCAAGCCAGCCTGTCCCACCCAGAGCCCGCTGTCGTGCTCGCTCGCGGGACATGCAGCCTGTGCCGGCCAGACGTCCCCAGCGGTTGTTTCAGGAGAGCGGCTCGCCAGGCGTCAGGGCTTCAGGTTATCTCCTGGCCGGACACGGAGCAGGCCACCGGACCACGGCGCATCAGTCGATCGCGTGTATTACCCTGCGAGTATTGCAACCGGGACCCAGCCGCTCACAGTGTGCCTGGCTACGCAGGCGAGACGCCTACATCAAACCTGCAGAACACGCCGACACGAAACACGCCACTGCGGATACGCACCCCACACGCACCAATACCACACATAAGCGATGCCGACGGGGGCTGCAGTCCGCGACCGGTCGTAGGTCCGGCCGCACTCCTCTGAGGGGAGCCGTGCCATCTGATGGTCTCCTGTGGGACGGGGGGCGGGGGGGGGGGGGGGGCTGGGGAGGAAAGACCGGAGCAAAGCAGCTACACGAATTCCGGAGAATGCGCCGAGTCGGTTTCATAACGCGCTCGATGGCAGATTTTCGCTATTTTTGAGTTTCCGACTACATCACTGCACTCAATCATGAGATCCAAACGGGACAAATCGAACGGCTCGGTCTTAGTGACGACGCGAGACACGCTGCTGACAGGAGTGTGCCCAAATGTTACGTAAATCTCCGGGATCCATCAATGAGACGGAATGCTCGACAGTCTACAAAATAATGCGGCAGCTGAACAAAAACAGGTTGAAAGTACATCAGGTGGGTCTGTTGGCACGCCAGTCAGCAGTAACATCACATGCCAACCAAACTTCGTCGGCCACGCCGGAAGCTGGCGAAACAGGACGGCCCGGCCTCTCGGCGAGGTAAACCGTCAAGTTCACGCCAATTCCAGCTAACGAAAGCATAACCATGCCAGGGATGAAAGTTGGCGGCGTATTGACCTATGCAGATAGGTAATGGGGCGATAGTCATTTTACAACACGGTTGACCAATCAACGAACACATGGAGCCACCCTGGCGGCAGTTCAACAAAATAGAAGCTCCAAACCATTGAATAACAAAGGAGATAAACTCATTCAACTCATTCGCCGGACCGAGCCGAGGGGCAGCCGCGAATGACAAGCACTGCGCCGTCATTTACGGCGAGTTCTGGGAGCGCACTTGAAGCCAGCAGAAGGATCGTTTCAACGGAGGGGCACGGACCAGCGTCAACCTGCACTCAACCATGCAGGAAGACCAGCGCCGTGACTGCAGACCAGACGCTCCGGGAGACAGACGTGCCGATGGCGTCAGCCGGCGGCCGCACGTCCGACACCGGCCGCCGGCCGCTGGCCGCGACACACCAGCGCGGCGGGCAGGACCGGCCGGCCAGCACGGCAGCCGACCGAAGGCGGCGCCTCTCACAGCGCCTTCACCTTCATCTGGCGCATCTGGGCGCGTCGCTTGGCCTCGCGCTTCTCGGTCTTCTCCTCGAGGCGGCGCTGCTTCTCGGGGTCCTCCTCCTCCATGATGCGCTCCTTCTCCAGGCGGCGCTTCTCCTCGCGCTTGGCCTGCGCCTTCTCGGCGCGCGACTGGTGCGTCTGCTTCAGGTACGCCTCCTGCACGCGCAGTCGGTTCTTCTCCGCCTTCAGTCGAGCCTGGCAACCACACAGCAACGGTCACTCCGCGCCAGCACGGGAGGACGGGGCGCGACACCGTCAACTGGCGCCCAATGACCTCTCATACACTGTACGAGTGACAGCCGCTTTGGGACTCAAGCGGGCCCACACGGATGAGAGGGCATGAGGATTTGTGGCAAATGAATCCTAGTTTAAGTTGGCCGCGAAGTGATCAACTTACTAAAACTGCACAGAATAAAACACAAGGGAGGAACGCGCCTCGGAATGGTACCTACCAACACAACGCACCACCCATTATGCAGCCATGCTGGCAAAACTCACCAAGTCCGCCACAATACAGCCATCTCTGATAACGTCACGCCACCGTAAGGAAGCACGGTGAGCAGCGCTGTTCCCCGCGCGTGTCCCGTGCCGCGCGGCAGCCGTGCCGGTCGCCTTACCTCCCTGCCGAGCTTGCAGCGCTTCATGCGGTCCACCATGTAGAGCACGAGCTGCATGAGCGGCCGCACCGTCTCGACGTCGGCTGGCAGCAGGCGGCCGCGGCCCGGCAGGTTGAAGCCGAACGCCAGCGTCGGCCGCACCTTGGGCGGCTCCACTGGCGCCGAGTCGTCGATCTGAGGGCGGCGGCGGTGCCATGAGCGGACGTCTGGGCGAGACGCCACACGCGCGCGCCTCTCTCGCAGCGCTGCGTCGGCCGAGAGGTGACGCCAGAACATGGCGCTTGTCGAGCCTCGCGTACCCGTCCGTCAGCCGGAGCACGACTCCTCCATCCCAGCCCGCCTCTCTCGCAGCGCTGCGTCGGCCGAGAGGCGACGCCAGAACACGGCGCTTGTCGAGCCTCCCGTACCCGTCCGTCAGCCGGAGCACGACTCCTCCACCCCAGCCCGCCTCGACTCCAAGGTTCATGTGTGCTCTAACACACCACACGCTTCGCTCCCCAATACTGGTCTGTCTCCTGCGGTAAAACGCCGTGTTTCGGCCTCAAGCACCGGTCAACGCGCACGTTTTTGGGTTCCCAACGTCTGTTCCGTCTGTCGCTCCACACACACCTCCCGGGGCCCCAACGCCGGACCATTCCGCCCATTCTGACTGGGGCTGGCCGCTTGCGCCTGCACCGCACCCACCTGCTTCGGCCCCGAGTACTGATCGGACACGTGAATGAAGTCCACCAGGTCGGGGTACTTGTTGACGACGGCCGTGACGCGCGAGTCCAGCACCGCCGCCGTCGCCTCGTGGATCTCTGACATGAGCGAGAAGTGCGCTGGCAGGCCGTGCCGCTCTGCCGACTTCCGCTCCGGACAGTACGTGTTCTGTGGAGGGGCATGGGTGTGGAGGTCCCGGTCGGGGTCGGCAGCCCGGGACCCGGTTGCTGCAGCGGGCCGTGAGCTGCGCGTCCATGGCTGGTCGTGGACTACGCGTCAAAAAAAAACAAGCCTTTTTATGTCAGGCACCCATATGCTCAATTCCAGCTCACACCAAGCTTACGAAGGAAGGGAACAAATCATGTGTCAATGCTTACAGCATGTTACTGCAGATAACAATGCTAACCAGCAGCATAAGCGCACTTACGGTGCTCGCCCTTGGAACAACCACATGGCCAATAGCTTTCAGCACAGCGGCCGCATGCTAGAAGCCAAAATGTTGCACAGGGCACACGTTATATCTTTCATGGAACACACTACATTACAAGGAGCAACGACTGCCGCTTGTCGATACCTCCACGACGTCTTCCCCCACCCCCAACGCGAAACAAATGTGAAGGAAGGTCTGAACTCTCACCAGGTCGGTCATCTCCTTGGCCAGCTTGGCCGCCGACTTCTTGCTGGCTAAGCAAAACACAAAGGTGTCCATCTCCTCCGGATTCATCGTGACCTTTATTTCTACTTGGTCTGAGGCAGACTTCATCATGGTGGACATGACAGACACAAGGTCCTGACGCTGAAAAAACAGCCGACAAAACGTTATCCATACAAACACACAGCAACAACAAGCTACACGAAATATTATGCATTTTGTGCAGATTTGCGTTCTTTCTATCCCGCTAATCTTTCCTAGTTGCTGACGGTGTTCAGACTTGCGCACGTGACAGGTAATCCATCGCCTTTCATTACAGCCTGTCACGTGGCGGCATGTCGACGCATGCGTGCACGAGCATTACAAACAGATCACGACCATGACTGCAAATAAGGAAGGCAAAAGACAAAGTCTCAGAGCCCATGTGTAGTGTTCAGCATCCCTGCGGCAAACGTGACAAGGCAGACTGAGCGCGGGCAACACAACGAAGTCGTTTCAAAACACAGATCACAATATGGACAGACGGCACATTGCCTCCGCAAAATGATAAATCATGCATACAAGGGCACACACCATTGACCCAACACAGAACGGCTCACCAACTGGGCCGGGCGCGGGCAGGCAGTATCCACGGGTGCACAACAGCGTACACACAGAACCAGGCATGGCACGTACGGAGCGCGGCGGCCGCCTACCTTGAGGAATTTGAGCTGCACGAGCATGCCTTCGCAGCAGACGCGGCCGCTGCACCAGAGCGTGTACGTGTTCTCAGACTCTTTCAGCAGGGCGCCGCCGCCCGGCTCAGCCTTACCGTCGTCCCCTGCCAACCACACGCTTTCAAGTCACGACAAATCTCGCCAGAACGCTCAGCACATTCTGAACAGCAATCTACAGCATTGTTCGGCACGACAGAGAGACGTCTCAGCACGAGACCTTGCCATATCTGCTGCCAATGAGGTCAGGCAGTGGGTTAGAGGATCACAAGGGGCATCCCAGTGTCACAAGAAAAGGCTGACACCGTTCGTCTCATAGTCCCAAGATTGAGACACGGCGGACGTTCGACTTGAGCGCCAGCCAAGCACGCACTTCAAACCGAAAACACGGCAACTCACGGTCACAATATTAAAGACAGCAATAGCCATGCTTGTGGTGTTTTGAGAGTGAACATGTACTCGTTACACCACTGGGGGCACCAGTGCACTGACCGACTAGTGAAAAGTTGCTCTCCAGCAGTGGCTTGTGGGCGGCCAGCCAGGCATTCGCCAGCTTCTGGTTCCGAGTCTTCCCGGACACGAAGTTGATGAAGTAGACAACGATGCCAGCAATCATCAGCATCTCCACGTAGAACTTGTCCCAGTTGGTGGAGCGATGGACAGGAACCTAGAAGAGCAGGGCCAGCATGTGGTCGTGTATTAAGTCCGGCGGACCGCTTGCCGATCAGAACTTCACGCCCACTTCTATCGCGTTGAACATGTACGGGAAAAGTATACCCACAGCAAACCATCATTGTCATGCTTATCTCACCTTTCCACTAAATTATTCATAACCATATTCATGGCAACTGATGCCCAAATGGTTCCCACAGCATCAGCACGTAAGTTCCTGGAGTAGAAACGGTCCCCCTTACATTCGCAATCGTTATTTTCGGCTGCTCCTTGCTGCCTTGACTTGGAGATGCGGATTCAAAACCCTCAAACTCCTCCTCATCTTGAAAATGTTCAAATTCATCTTCTGTCTGAAATCAAGAGATACATATCTGATAACAACCAACGTGCACACTGCATAAATGCTAACAACTCTGACATCTCAATACCCCACTGCCACTCAGAGCATGTGTAAGTGGCTCAACCCAGTGTCACTACATTGTCGCCCACAGTGCAAAGACGAAAACAAAATGCCTTGTTAATCTTCTGCCCACTCACTGCTAATATTCTGCTCGGACTCTACTCACCTCCACCAGCCCGTCGTCGTCGTCCAATACGGCATCCTGTACAGGACTAGGAGTTGTCTTCCTCTCTGGCTCCCGCGGCTCCTCCTTGGTCTGGTACGGCTTTTCGAACTCGTCGTCGTCAAACTCCTCAAAGTCGGCAAAGTCGTTGTCTTCGGTCTCGGCCTGGTACTTGGAGGCGCGCACGTACAGTGAGAGCACCAACAGCACCAGCAGTGTCTTCAGACGCACGTCCACCATGGTAAGCCCTGCACCAAATAAGCAAACTTATCGGCAAGTGACAAGGATATTCATAGGCATATTACCACACAAAATTGGCATGTATTATCACTCTATGGCACTGTAACATCAGCAAATATTACACCATCTAATAAGACACCACTTAATTTCCAGATTGCTATGCCAATTCAGTGAGATCATATACATAATCACCAAAGCACAACATGGAGTTGTCAGATGCTCCAGATTTGAAATCCTGAATGTCTATGTTCATTATGATGGCAAATTCATGGATACTGGTTGAAACTTTGATGATAACTTTTGGTCTATTGGAAGTGCCAGCAAGAATTTATTGGGAGTGCCACATACAGGAAAGGTACCTTTTCTAGGTTTTGTCCAATTTTTTCATAGAATGGCTTTCTGGGACCAGTGGTGGGTCCCCATGCTTATCATTGTTTGATGTGTAAGCCCTAACACCACCATCCAGCTGTGAAATTCCAGGTAAGTAGACCTAGCTAGTTGTATGTGTAAAGAGCTCAGCTGTGAATATGCTCACAAGAGTGCAAGATCTAATTTGCATATATTTCATTTGTTTTTCCAACCAAGCCAATTTTTACATATTGCTGGCAAAATGTAGTATATGAGATTGTGTTGCAACAAGTACTCCTCCTTAGCATGGCATGGCATCTATTCTAAGTTATGCATGTGATGAAAAGTTACACATTAAATCTTACACACTGTTAGAATATAACCATATTCTGCTCTTTACACACCTATGAAAACTCAGTTTTTTTACTGAACTTCACTCACAATACAGCTATGAAGGAGCCAATCACACCCAGGGGTTGATTCAGAATTTTGGCAAGGGAAAGGTCACAATTTATTGTGGTGCTCCATGACACTTGATCTCCCTCTATCAAGAACTCCCAATTTCTGCCACCTCAATTTCATGTCAATTTTTCTATCACTAAAATATCTTCAACAGGAATAGTCTATAAATTTGGTATATTTCATTTTTAGAGGTCAATGCTTCTTAAATTTGTCAGTTAAACTTGAAGATTTGGGGCTATTTGTGGTGTTCTGAACATTGGTGCATCTTGAAAACAAAGTTTATGTGAGCATGACATGAAGATTTTGGGCCCCCTCACCACATGACTCTGGTGCTACTTCAGCCCAAGGGGACCTGCCCCCCCCCCCCCTTCTCTCAGTGTATCCACCCCTCACTGTACCCCAGCATAACCAAAACCTGGCTGATTGCATAGTCAATGTTGACCCTACCTGAATTAAATGACAACTAAGTGAATGATAACCTTGTTTACTTTTTTACCCATTGAGTATATTTTTGTGGTATGTCTTATTAGGTAGTATGGATATGGCTACTGCAATCCTTGCCATTATAACTCACCAGCATTTACCAAAGAATCTTGGCTTGTGTAAAGCAATGAAATCTGATAAGATGGTGACCTGAGGAAGTAAAAAACAGCCTACTCTACACTATGTTGCGCATTTCGTTCATGAGGCATTGCTGTTGCCTCACATGGCACTGTGTGTGTATTTCAACTTCTTCCACCTTGCTTACCCCCGGTTGGTTGCAATGGACAAAAACACCCCGGCGACCGCCTATATTCAACGGCCTCTTCAAACCCCACCCCTAGATAACATACGTACAACTCAACTGCCAAACAATCGCAGGAACTCAGGGGGCCGGTACCTCGAACCTGTCTTGGATTAGAGTGCGAAACCCCTGGGCTTAAACGTAGGACCGGTATCACAGGTCATGAAAACGCCAGCTCCACACACGCAGCAGGGACGAAACGAACTTGGCTTCACCGAGGCTCCATAAATACCTTAGTTTGGTATTTATCATAAGTTGTACAGTTTTGTGCAACAACATGTTATCTTTTAGTATTATAGCATATAAAATAATACATAATTTATTAAGTGGCATCATTTAAGATATATAAAAACTATGTATGAGGACTACCACTAGGTGCCAAGAGCGTATATACCATGCCTGAATTCTCATCTTTAAACACAACTGACGTAAGGCCGGTTATGGCAAACTCTCCGAGTGTAACGGGAGCAATGCACGTACCCCTCGTAAAAACGGTGGCAGGTGGCAGATGCATCGCCGAAAATAATCACGATGCTGACGGAACTTGGTTGGGTGCCTAGTGACATTGAATTAATTTAGTCCAAGCGTTTTGTTACTGAGCCTGATGGTTAAAAAGAGGTGGGAGTTATTTCAGTGTGGGGGACAGCCATGCCATCATTGCAGCGACTGTGATCTGTTCTTCGTTGAAACTGCTGCCAATTGCCAGGGCAGATTGGAGAACGCAGGAAGGTTTCGCTAAGCTTCCTATGAATTGTCTTAATGTCAGGCTCACAGTGTTCCATTAGGTTAACACAGGGGTTTTAGTTTTTAGAAGCCAAGGCCCTTAAGAATAGGTACCGCAGCCACAGCAGGAGTCAAAGGGCCCTGGTTATGATACATGACTTTCACAGGACCCAGTGTATTGCTTGCCATCCTGCTTGTCTTGAAATACCATTTGATTTTCCTGATGGTGTTGGAGATCTTTAAGTAAATCTATTGAACCTCCTGGTCTGGTAGACAATCATCTGTAATGGGTGTTACATGATGTGACACCAAAGTCCTCTGTCACTTCCCTGTGTTTGGCTGTGTGGCTGTTACCTGGTTGTGTATTTTTGTGCAATGATTTTGCTGAAACTGCTCAAGTAATGTAAATTACCCATGCAAAGAAGTGCTTTTGTTATATTTTTGTATACTGGTTGAAGAAAATAGGAGCAAAGTGGGTGAATGCATGCGTTTGCCTGCATTTTTCTTTTCAATTCTTAAGGAGTTATTCATCCTGAATTTTTGAAGTGGCCATCACTAGGTTTGGGGAGGTTATAATGCTATGACAAAATCACAAGGTCAAAAACAGATTACCAGCTGCAAGTTGTAAAACAATGACCTTACATGTTGCTGATGTACTTGAGTCTTGAGACAATCAGGTGCTTCTTGAGATCAAGTCTTTTCATTGCCCCAGCAGTCATATGATAAAGACCGTGTCCTCAGGTTAGCATACTGGTGGGCTCATGAATTTGTTTTGGACACAATTACTTGACCTGAAAACAAACATTTGATCAGCCAAATTGGAATACAAAATGGATGTAGATTAAATGTCAAATGTCAGTGGTCATGACAATGATTGGTTTTGCTGTTGATGCTCAGAAAGTATCCAAATCTTTAAGGTCTGCACTGTGGTGGATCTATGCCAACAACGACCTTTAGTTTTTGCTCTTTTTATGGCTGGAAGTGGTGCACTTTGCAGAACAAGTGCAAGATATGGAATCACAACACATTTTGTGACAGCTGGTGTGCGGGTAGTTTGAAGCAATATATTTGTATGCAGATAATGTATTGAATCTGCTTGAACAGGGGATAACCATGGTACCATTACCTGAAGCAGTGTGCACTGGAAGTGAAGTCCTCAATCATTTCAGGTTTCCAATCATGTGTGTCATAGTTTGATGACCTCAGAGAACAAGTCCAGGAAGCATGAATTCAGCAAGCAAGGTTTGTTTTGTGACCACCTGCTTGACCCACATGAATGTCTTGTTAATTGTTGGTTTGTATGTGTGCAGACCTCTAAGCTGAGGAAATATTGTGCATAGTAGTATTATCCTGGTCTGGATATATGTGTTGTGTCCTCATGTTTGTGCCCACGGTGAGAAGGGATGTCATAGACATGTTTGGTCACATTTGCCCATGGTATCTGGCAGCAGCTGTGTGGATTTTGGTGCCTTGTCACCTCTCACTCTGCTGAACTGCCAATGGCTGATCAGGGCTGTCACACTCATCAATAGGTGGGCGAGATCTTTGTGGAGGCTGGCGAGGCGTTCAACCGGCTGGGTAATATGGCTGTGCAGCTACAACAGGCATCACCCAATGCCACCAACAGGTGAATCACTGGGATGTCATGATTTATACATCAGTGAGATGTGGGATGCTGGTTTGTTTGCAATTGGGTGTCAGTTCACTCTCCATATATGCTGATATTGTAACTGGTTTATGGCATGCACAGCCCATAACTGCTATCCATGCCTTGGTTCTAACTGCCACTGATGTTAATGGGGCACCAGTCCCATTAACCTTTTGAAGCATTGCAGCCATCGCTTGTTTTGACCTTTGAAATGGCAATAAAGCGAGTAAGACCCTGTAACATTTAGTACCTGACGGCACCCCGGCTGCTATATTTATTGACTTTCAGTGGAAAATGGCGTGAGGAAGAAATCGAAATGCTTCATGAAGCCGTGAAAAGATTTGGCGCAGACCCTCAGAAGATCGGCGAAATCCTGAAAACACGAAGCGTGTAAGTGAGATTCTGTGATCTTGAATGGAATAATTGTTCGGACTATCGCCCTCGCCTGGCATGAGAACTGCCTGCAAACTGAGACACTAGACCAGGGCGATAGGCCGAATAAAGTGCAATGCGTGTTTTGGTGCTCTGTGCTCATTATTTTCTCAACCTTCTGGAGCTATGACACCCTCCCATTCCTCCCAACGATGTGTCTGTGCTTTGTGTGCATATTGCTGACGTCTGTGTCGAGACCTTCCATATGAATATCACGTTTGGTGTGATGGCTAGGCGAATCGCGTGGCTTCGCAGCGGCCAGACTCGTACTTTGGGCAAGATTACGAGGCCTGTGGGGCAACGTTACTAGCGTGACATAATCTCCCTATAGAATGCGCTGATTGACATAGCAGTTTCATGTCCACAGCAGACAGATTCGTAATGCCGTGATCGGGGTCGGCTGCCCCGTCCCCCCCCCCCCCCTCGAGACCCCAGGACTCTGGCGCAGCACCGACCGCTCTTGTGGTCTATCGCCAGGAGCCAGATCCGTAACGCGCTCAAGACGAAAGCCTTTGGCGGAGCGCAGGCACACGGCGGGGCGGCGGCGCGGCCGCGGCCGGCGCCTAGCGCCAAACAGCAGGCCAGCCTGGCGGTCAAGTCGGACGTGACGCTTAATATGCTGAACGTGGGCGGCGCCGATCACGACGCCGGCATGAGTCAGGACTATTTCGACGGGCCCACCGAGGAAGTGGCGTAACCGGTCCTACCGTCTGCGACAGTGGCCGTGATTAGCTATGGCTCGCAGTGGCAGAGCCGTGGTGGGACCTGGCTCACGGCGGTAGGAGTCGTGATGGGACCTGGCTCACGGCGATAGGAGTCGTGATCGGACGTGGCTTGCCGCGCAGAAGAAGTCACTTATCGGGCCTCTTGTTTCATGTCGTGATTGGCTGTGGTTGCGCGCGGATGAATTTGCCTGTATGGAAGCGCACGGGGTGGTGCTAGTCTTGTTGCTCGTCTCCCCTTCATGTTCATGGTCCGTTGACGGCGCTTTCCATTGCTCTGTCTGTTCATTTTCATTGAATAAATGCGTTCCCCAATTAATTGGACTGTGTTGGAGTGGTGTGTCCTGCCATGGGTAATGGCTGTGTTCCAGAGCAATGCTGCAGTTATTTTTTTTCTGAATACCTTTCCCTCGAATTGACCTGGACACTGGTTCATTCAAGAGCCCCAACAAAGAGATTAAGTGGACGGTTGTTCGAAGGCTCATGTGGCTGGAAGGGTGCAAGGGTTCCCGTGCGGAGTTCGTGAGTAATCTCGAGGGCCCGACAGAATCGCCTGCCTGGTTTTCATTTCGAATAGCTGGCGACGGCAACGTTTCCCTGTGCCAAATCAGTGGCGACGCCTGAAGTGAAATAATAAATTTGAGAAAGCTGCCTCCAGCGGATTTTTTGCTGCTTCTGGGGGGTCGGGCAATGGGACGTTCCTCCCTAAACAGGAGCAGCGACACATCAGACGGCCTATAGATTCTTCCCTTAGTAGTTTCGTTCGTGCGAACGAACTAATGAAGGACGGTTAACTTGTTTTGGGGTTACCGACAACTAAACCAACGTGCCATACTTGTCAAGGGGGTGGATTTTGGTGTATCTTTGCAAAATACACAAAATATCTGCTGGAAAGATCTTTGTCACGTCTTAGTTTTCCAGATTATTTTTTCTTGACTCCGTTCCAGGTAGTTAACAGGAATGGAATTCTGGTTAATTGATTCACTCGTTATATGTTGTGCTCCAGTAACGCGTCATTTGTTTGGCCTTGAGACAGCTGACCCATCTTCCAGCCGTTGCTATCACCCAAGCTCCACTGCGCACCTTGACGTAGCCTTGACTGCGGGTGCGCCGGATCGCGGAAGGTTGGGATCGATCGGGATTGGCCAGAGGGTCGCGGACGGCGGGGGACTGAGTTTTGTGAAAGGTGAGTGGTGACATTTAGACATTTCTTCTACTGGTTCTGCTGTATTTGCGCCGTTCCATTTATTTCTTTACTTATGCTAGCTGTTCGTGGAAAAATCTGATGTAGACTAAGCGGGTGCTCCGCAGTTTATAACAGCATTCATGACGATGGTTCTGGAGGATTTTTAAATTACTTATTCCTTGACTGGCTGGCAACTGCTTAGGCTGGATTTACCGTACTATCTTAACTTCTCCTTGATTGTTGTGCCCGGTTTAATGGTTTATGAAGTGATATTTGTCCATATCAATTATATCAGTTAGATAATTTTAAAGGTGTTTACATTTGCTCTTTAGGGTGAAAATATTACAATATTGTTTGTTTTTTAGATTAAATCCAACTGAGTTGGATGACAATATTTCTGGGATCAGAGCTCCACTAACTAACCAGCGCTTGAATATTCATGTATGTAGTCTTATGCAGCAGTGAGGATATTTGTGCATTTGTTGTGTGATCCATTCAACAGTGTAGTTGTACTTTCCTACCTAACGTTAGAAAAAATCACTGTACACTATTTGTCATGTTTAAGGCAGAACATATCATAAGTAATCTCAAAACAGGTAGAATCATGCTCCTACCTTCAAATTTTAATAACTACAATGGCGAGCTCCTGAGCGCCGCATGCACCGCACCACCTGGACTCCCCAGCACCGTTTCTGCATTGCCATTGCGTAATTACAATATTTCTGCTTACCAAGAACTATAAAAAATGTACAAGACCAAGGTAACAATAATAATGCAATGAAAATAGTTTCTTATTGCATTTAGGTACATTTATGAAACACATAGGCCAGAATAGTTCAGAACATAGCCTAAACTAGCCTAACCTAACCTAACCTAACCTAACCTAACCTAACCTAACCTAACCTAACCTAACCTAACCTAACCTAACCTAACCTAACCTTACCTTACCTTACCTTACCTTACCTTACCTAAGCTCATGGATTCTTGTTACCTTGGCCCAGTATGTTTTTATGGTTCTTGATGCTGCTTGGTGCACAGTAATGTTGTGACCGTGCGCAGTAATGACGCCGGTGTTGCGGCTGCTATGTGTTTGCGGCGGTTGGATGTTCTGTATCATATTTAGTTACGTTCCAAGGTAAGAGTATAGATTACCTGTTTTGCTATTAATTATGATCTGTTCTGCCTTAAAAACAACAATTGATGTACAATGCTCTTTTGTAACATGAGGTAGGAAAGTACACCCTGACCCATTCAACAATGAAGATATATTAGGAAAGGAGCTATTTTTGCAAGGTGTTTGTACTATTTGTTACCTTGGGTGCACATCAGATAGTCAGAAATGCTCATTGTAGAAGGATTCAGAACTAGTAAAAGCTCAGTGGCCCTCATTCACTAAAAAGTGGAAGATTTGTCAGTCCATAAAATTGTTTATGTGTCCTATATTCAAGTAATGTGTATAGGCATATCAACCAGAAAAAGGCACAGTTGTTTATGATTGACATATTAAGATATTGTACATACATGTTAACAGTCATGCCGTACATCCCGCTTAAAGCCCATACTGGTAGTTGGAGTTCATCATGTCACAGTCATTCTTTTTCTGATGCATCCCCCATGCTAAGTCACAACTCCTGTATTAAGATACATTTTTTTATTTTGTTACTATTGAATTGTCTATCCAAATCTCTGATTTCACCTTTAACAACACTGTATCTAGGCTGTGCTCCACAGAATCCAGTCCAGTTTCTGGTTCCTGCCACATGCTATTGACCTGAAAGTGATGAGGCTAATCTATTTTCAGAGTTCAGTTGCCTGGTGATCAGGTAAAGCAGGGGTTCCACACTGCTGATGCTGCCAGGTCTCATCAGCATGGAGGAGTCTGAGCTGTCGCCTCGCATCGGCCCGCGCCGCCGCCAGAGGGCCAGCGGCCAGCGCGTCTGCGGCTGCGTCCATGTGCGCACTGGCACCATCATGCTGGGAATGTGGCATCTGGTCAGTGACTGGGCGGTTGCTGCTGTCTGGTTGTGTTGATGTGTGCATCAGACTGATAAAACTACAGTTTGAACATTTAGGGCATGAGCTGGTTATTATCCGGTTTGCACATTGCCATGTAGGCAGTCAATGTGCAACAATTCAGAGATAAAACTACAGTTTGAACATTTAGGGCATGAGCTGGTTATTATCCAGTCTGCAAACATTGCCATGTAGGCAGCCAGTGTGTGACAATTCAGAGGATTTAGTTGACTCATGTTTGATTCAATTTCTCAGTCTAGCTGTCAACAACCTATGAGCTGGAGGTGGCCAACTTTCTGCCTGAAATTCACAAAGGGGCTGAACATTGAACATGCTGCCCCTGTCTGACATCCAGTGAGCATATCACAACCTTTTGGCAGGTGATGAACGTGCTGGCCCTGTCGGCGCTGGCCATGGTCATCTTCCACCCAGAGATGTTGCAACATGTGCAGCTGGAGCGCGCGCCGACGGCCAACCTGTCGGCCGAAGGGGCCGGCAGCGAGGCGGTGCTGCCGCCGCGCGTCATGCCCAAGTACGGCCCCACGTACTCGGTGCTGGGCGGCCAGGTCTGGAACGTGGACGACCTCAACATAGGCATAATGATCACCTTTTGCACGTTCATCATCACGCTGCTGATGGTGGTAGGCGCCATCAAGGGACAGCCCTCCTACCTGATGCCCTTCTTCTGTCTGCAAGTGTTCGACTTCTGCATCTCCAGGTAGGCAGCGTTGCCACGTCGGCCCGCTAATGCTATTTTCAAGTTTTTTAGCACATTGATTTGAGCTTTCCATTAAGTTTTTCTCTTCAACCGATCCTCTAGCGTGAAAACGACGATGCGTTATCATGCTGGTTCGCTTGTTGTCTGCCGTAAGTGGTTGTCGGGCACCGTATGTTTCCATCTACTACGCCGGTGTGCTGTGAATCGTCCCAGCACCAGTGCCGCTCCAGCGACGGTGTCTGACGTGCCGCTTCCTCCCCAGCCTGACCATGATCAGCTACTTCTCCTTCATGCCGGACCTGCACGTGATGCTGGTGCGCTCATCGAGCCTGCCGTTCCGCGACCAGCTGCTGCGCCTGGACCAGCGCTGGCTCTCGCTCATTCTGATGGTGGCCTTCCTCGTCGCCATGGTGATCAAGGTGAGACTCGCCGGTTGGAGGCCATCCTCGTTGCCATGGTGATCAGGTTGAGATGCGCCGGCCGGAGGCCTTCCTCGTCGCCATGGTGATCAAGGCGAGACGCGCTGGCCGCGGGCCTTCCTCGTCGCCATGGTGATCAAATTTAAACGCGCCGGCCGGAGATGTCTCCGTCTCGTCGGCTCGTTGTTGGCGTTGCTGCGAACTGGGCTCGCACGACGGGTCCGTGCGGACTCGGCCTAGCTCCCACGGGTGAGCGCCGTGAGGTCGCCAGAAAGGCTCGCACTACCGCAGGCTCTGCGTCTTGCCTGGCCGATGGGTCATGAAACCGTCCTCAGCACGACGCTTTGCTCTCAGGCCATCCTCTGTGTGAGTTGTGCGGAGCGGGAGGACGTCACATCACATTACTCGTTCCGCAAACACCCGCTCCTGAGGATGAGCGGATGTTTGCGGAACGAGTAATGCCCGACGGACATCCGGGGAGGTGCCGGATTACTGAGTCGGCTGACGCGCCGCGTCCGTCGGCAGGCGTACCTCATCGCCATGGTGTGGGCCTGCTACCGCTACCTGCTGATGCGCCAGGCCGGCGGCGGCGGCGGCGGCGGCGGCGGCGCACCGGCCGAACCCGACCCGGCGGCCTCGCTGCCCGACTACGAGGTGGCGCTCTCCGACCCGCGCTTCTCCAAGGTCGACCTGGCCAACTATCCGGCGCCGCCGCCCAGCTACGACGCCGCCACCAGCGAGGCGGGCGCGCGCGCCAAGTAGACGCCGCGCGCTGCCGCCCGGCCGCGGCAGGACGACGGGTGGGCTCTGTGACCCGGGAGGAGGGAAGGGTAGACACCGGGCCGGTCTGGGTCGATGGAGGAGTGACGGGAGATGAACGGGTGGACGCTCCGGGCCGGCTGGCGGCGGGCGGTGTAGCGGGGCACGCGGGACGCTCGGTCACTGATCGGGCGGGCTGGTGTGTTACGGTATCCTTGGGCGGCCGGGGGCCGGGCCGGTAGCGAGAACCGCGCGCCAAGCGGCGGCGGCCGGCGATGTAGCGGGGCTCGCGGGACGCTCGGTCACTGGTCGGGCGGGCTGGTGTGCTACGGTATCCTCGGGCGGCCGCGGGGCTAGGCCGGTGGCGAGAGCCGCGCACCGAGCGGCGGCGGCCGGCGGTCAACTTAACGGCGGGTCCGGCTGTGACGTCACGGACGCGTATATTTTCTCTGCCGTGGTCCTGGGGCCGCGCTGCACCGTCGCACGCGTCGCCGACTCACTCTCCGATAGATGTAAGGCACGCCGCCGGCCTCCGGCGTCCGCACGCGTCCCACATTTTGTCCTGGCGTGGGACTGAACCCGTGGGGGGGGGGGGGGGCTGACCCTTATGCCCCCCCTTCCCCGCTGTCTGTCGCAGCGGGGGACGGCCCTTTGTTTCGGCGTGGGACTGACCCTGCGGAGAGCCGCCCCTCTACCGGCGGGGGGGGGGGGGGGTGACACTCTGTCCCGGTGGGAGACCGGCCCTCTGTTCCGACGGAGGACTGACCCTCTGTATCGGTGGCGATCCGGACGCGTGCGGGCCGACTGGTTAGGCGGTGAGGTGCGTGCTTAGGTGTTGTCAGTGATAGTCTCCTTGCGGTGGTTATATTGCTGTAGCGCGCGCCGCAGGTGTCGCGCCCACAGCTTCTGTTTGTCTTTCACTTACATTAGCACCAGCGGCACTGCACTGGTTGTTTGGGCAGCTGGTCCCGGATTTTAGGAGGTGTTTGGCGCCCGTTTCATCGAAAAGTAGTGCGAGTTTGTGTATCAAAGTTCGTTTAAATTGCACAAGGACGCGGCTGTGTCCCGGACCTGGGCCCACTTACTGCAGAAGAGAACGAAACTACGACGGTACGCAATCGAAAGCGCGCGATGTAAACACGTGTTCTCAATGTAGTCATGCTAGTTTGATTTTGAGTTGTAAGACCGTTTGTTAACAAAACGATTGGGGAACTTTTTTGTGTGCTGAAACTGTCCACACGGCGCGAGTTTAAGTGCTTTAGTTCGTAGTTTTATCTTGGGAAGCTGGGCACAGGTGTCTCCGTTTGAAAATCAGCTGTGAATACAAGCCAAAGAAACGTCGGCATTAGGATGTGTCATGCGGCTGACTGCTGGCCGCGAACCGGAATCTGGCCTGGAGCAGATCTCGCAGGGGCCGCCGGGAAGAGATCTGGTAGGGCCTGGCCCAAGTAGGAACCAGGTGGAAGAACGAACTAGTCTTGTCAGATGTTAGACGACTGTCGGTGTCGCTCCGGAACAAGAATTAGTTTATCTTCATGGAAGCACCCTGGTCATCGCACAAGGCATGCTCTAGCGGATTGGTTGGCATAACTGCAGCCCGTTTGATCGCCGCCAAATTCCTCCGTCTGTGGTAAGGAGCGGTTCACACACGGACGTGAGCTGGTGAGATCGGCCATGAACAATGTGTTTGCATAGATGACCACGCACGCACTCCCGTGCAGTTGAAATAAGACCTGGAGTCCCCACTCCCGAGTGTGAAGCCCGGGGAACGCACCGCTACGCGCTGCTGGCTGCCCGTGGCACGAACCTGGAGACTGCCGCCCGCCGGCCGTCCGGCGGGCTGGCCGCCACATGCGAAAGTAGTGGCAGCGGAGTGTGTGGGGGCGTCCGCCACATTATGATGCTGTTTCTATTACATAGGTCTAGATGTGAAGAGTGCGTGACGACAAAGCAGAGCAGGAGCACAGGATGCGTGCTGGCGTCGCAGGACCTTACCACTGCACTGGTTAAAGATGCGTGCGCGCTTCAATAAGTCAGGTGCAGTGCAGTTTCTTACTCAGTTCGGGGGGGGGGGCTTCAGCCATCCCCCCTCCGACTTTGAGAATAAAGTGGGCCAAATCTAGGGAGAAGCCCGTCTGCTGTAATTTGGTAGAAGGATGTATGTCCTCACCGTTCACCCCCCTCCCCCCCCCAACTCATTTCGAAAATGCGCGGTCACGTGTAATCGTTTAACTTTCAAATCACACGCATCTTGAATTCCAGCCAAGCCCTTGTGACCAAATTACTAAACCCCCGTTCGGATGAAATTGTGTATAAGCGTTTCGCATTTCGTCACAACGAACCGGCCAAGCAGTCAGCGCGCGGCGGCTGTCGTTCTACCCACGCTCAGTGCACTCAGTTTGTATTGGACACGCCGGTGCCGGCGGCTGTCGTTCTACCCACGCTCAGTGCACTCAGTTTGTATTGGACACGCCGGTGCCGGCGGCTGTCGTTCTACCCACGCTCAGTGCACTCAGTTTGTATTGGACACGCCGGTGCCGGCGGCTGTCGTTCTACCCACGCTCAGTGCACTTAGTTTGTATTAGACACGCCGGTGCCGGCGGCTGTCGTTCTACCCACGCTCAGTGCACTTAGTTTGTATTAGACACGCCGGTGCCGGCGGCTGTCGTTCTACCCACGCTCAGTGCACTTAGTTTGTATTAGACACGCCGGTGCCGGCAGCTGTCGTTCTACCCTCGCTCAGTGCACTCAGTTTGTACTGGACACGCCGGTGCCGGCGGCTGTCGTTCTACCCTCGCTCAGTGCACTTAGTTTGTATTGGACACGCCGGTGCCGGCGGCTGTCGTTCTACCCTCGCTCAGTGCACTCAGTTTGTATTGGACACGCCGGTGCCGGCGGCTGTCGTTCTACCCTCGCTCAGTGCACTCAGTTTGTATTAGACACGCCGGTGCCGGCGGCTGTCGTTCTACCCTCGCTCAGTGCACTCAGTTTGTATTGGACACGCCGGTGCCGGCGGCTGTCGTTCTACCCTCGCTCAGTGCACTCAGTTTGTATTAGACACGCCGGTGCCGGCGGCTGTCGTTCTACCCTCGCTCAGTGCACTTAGTTTGTATTGGACACGCCGGTGCCGGCGGCTGTCGTTCTACCCTCGCTCAGTGCACTCAGTTTGTATTAGACACGCCGGTGCCGGCGGCTGTCGTTCTACCCACGCTCAGTGCACTTAGTTTGTATTAGACACGCCGGTGCCGGCAGCTGTCGTTCTACCCTCGCTCAGTGCACTCAGTTTGTAATGGACACGCCGGTGCCGGCGGCTGTCGTTCTACCCACGCTCAGTGCACTTAGTTTGTATTAGACACGCCGGTGCCGGCAGCTGTCGTTCTACCCTCGCTCAGTGCACTCGTTTGTATTGGACACGCCGGTTGCCGGCGGCTGTCGTTCTACCCACGCTCAGTGCACTTAGTTTGTATTGGACACGCCGGGTGCCGGCGGCTGTCGTTCTACCCTCGCTCAGTGCACTCAGTTTATATTGGACACGCCGGTGCCGGCGGCTGTCGTTCTACCCACGCTCAGTGCACTCAGTTTGTATTGGACACGCCGGTGCCGGCGGCTGTCGTTCTACCCACGCTCAGTGCACTTAGTTTGTATTGGACACGCCGGTGCCGGCGGCTGTCGTTCTACCCACGCTCAGTGCACTCAGTTTATATTGGACACGCCGGTGCCGGCGGCTGTCGTTCTACCCACGCTCAGTGCACTCAGTTTGTATTGGACACGCCGGTGCCGGCGGCTGTCGTTCTACCCACGCTCAGTGCACTCAGTTTATATTGGACACGCCGGTGCCGGCGGCTGTCGTTCTACCCACGCTCAGTGCACTCAGTTTGTATTGGACACGCCGGTGCCGGCGGCTGTCGTTCTACCCACGCTCAGTGCACTCAGTTTATATTGGACACGCCGGTGCCGGCGGCTGTCGTTCTACCCACGCTCAGTGCACTCAGTTTGTACTGGACACGCCGGTGCCGGCGGCTGTCGTTCTACCCACGCTCAGTGCACTCAGTTTGTACTGGACACGCCGGTGCCGGCGGCTGTCGTTCTACCCACGCTCAGTGCACTCAGTTTGTATTAGACACGCCGGTGCCGGCGGCTGTCGTTCTACCCACGCTCAGTGCACTCAGTTTGTATTGGACACGCCGGTGCCGGCGGCTGTCGTTCTACCCACGCTCAGTGCACTCAGTTTGTATTAGACACGCCGGTGCCGGCGGCTGTCGTTCTACCCACGCTCAGTGCACTCAGTTTGTATTAGACACGCCGGTGCCGGCGGCTGTCGTTCTACCCTCGCTCAGTGCACTCAGTTTGTATTGGACACGCCGGTGCCGGCGGCTGTCGTTCTACCCTCGCTCAGTGCACTTAGTTTGTATTAGACACGCCGGTGCCGGCGGCTGTCGTTCTACCCACGCTCAGTGCACTCAGTTTGTATTAGACACGCCGGTGCCGGCGGCTGTCGTTCTACCCACGCTCAGTGCACTCAGTTTGTATTGGACACGCCGGTGCCGGCGGCTGTCGTTCTACCCACGCTCAGTGCACTCAGTTTGTATTGGACACGCCGGTGCCGGCGGCTGTCGTTCTACCCACGCTCAGTGCACTTAGTTTGTATTAGACACGCCGGTGCCGGCGGCTGTCGTTCTACCCTCGCTCAGTGCACTCAGTTTGTACTGGACACGCCGGTGCCGGCGGCTGTCGTTCTACCCACGCTCAGTGCACTTAGTTTGTATTGGACACGCCGGTGCCGGCGGCTGTCGTTCTACCCACGCTCAGTGCACTCAGTTTGTATTGGACACGCCGGTGCCGGCGGCTGTCGTTCTACCCACGCTCAGTGCACTTAGTTTGTATTGGACACGCCGGTGCCGGCGGCTGTCGTTCTACCCACGCTCAGTGCACTCAGTTTGTATTGGACACGCCGGTGCCGGCGGCTGTCGTTCTACCCTCGCTCAGTGCACTTAGTTTGTATTAGACACGCCGGTGCCGGCGGCTGTCGTTCTACCCACGCTCAGTGCACTTAGTTTGTATTGGACACGCCGGTGCCGGCGGCTGTCGTTCTACCCACGCTCAGTGCACTTAGTTTGTATTAGACACGCCGGTGCCGGCGGCTGTCGTTCTACCCACGCTCAGTGCACTTAGTTTGTATTAGACACGCCGGTGCCGGCGGCTGTCGTTCTACCCACGCTCAGTGCACTTAGTTTGTATTAGACACGCCGGTGCCGGCGGCTGTCGTTCTACCCACGCTCAGTGCACTTAGTTTGTATTAGACACGCCGGTGCCGGCGGCTGTCGTTCTACCCACGCTCAGTGCACTCAGTTTGTATTGGACACGCCGGTGCCGGCGGCTGTCGTTCTACCCACGCTCAGTGCACTTAGTTTGTATTGGACACGCCGGTGCCGGCGGCTGTCGTTCTACCCACGCTCAGTGCACTCAGTTTGTATTGGACACGCCGGTGCCGGCGGCTGTCGTTCTACCCACGCTCAGTGCACTTAGTTTGTATTGGACACGCCGGTGCCGGCGGCTGTCGTTCTACCCTCGCTCAGTGCACTTAGTTTGTATTGGACACGCCGGTGCCGGCGGCTGTCGTTCTACCCACGCTCAGTGCACTTAGTTTGTATTAGACACGCCGGTGCCGGCGGCTGTCGTTCTACCCTCGCTCAGTGCACTCAGTTTGTATTGGACACGCCGGTGCCGGCGGCTGTCGTTCTACCCACGCTCAGTGCACTTAGTTTGTATTAGACACGCCGGTGCCGGCGGCTGTCGTTCTACCCACTCTCAGTGCACTCAGTTTGTATTGGACACGCCGGTGCCGGCGGCTGTCGTTCTACCCACGCTCAGTGCACTCAGTTTCACGCCGGTGCCGGCGGCTGTCGTTCTACCCACGCTCAGTGCACTCAGTTTGTATTGGACACGCCGGTGCCGGCGGCTGTCGTTCTACCCTCGCTCAGTGCACTCAGTTTGTATTGGACACGCCGGTGCCGGCGGCTGTCGTTCTACCCACGCTCAGTGCACTTAGTTTGTATTAGACACGCCGGTGCCGGCGGCTGTCGTTCTACCCACGCTCAGTGCACTCAGTTTATATTGGACACGCCGGTGCCGGCAGCTGTCGTTCTACCCACGCTCAGTGCACTCAGTTTGTATTGGACACGCCGGTGCCGGCGGCTGTCGTTCTACCCTCGCTCAGTGCACTCAGTTTGTATTGGACACGCCGGTGCCGGCGGCTGTCGTTCTACCCTCGCTCAGTGCACTCAGTTTGTATTGGACACGCCGGTGCCGGCGGCCGTCGTTCTACCCTCGCTCAGTGCACTC